TCCTAGGGGATGAGAGCATTCATTTTCCGACTTTTCCTTTCTTTTAACCACCCTAATGTACATATATATTATATGTATACATTTTTTTTGGCAAGAGAGCGTAGACGCTAAAAACAAACCCCTGCTCTCTCGAAAGCGGCAAAACTTTTCGCATATATAATAGGGCCTGTCGCTGTGGCACTGAATTTATTAGTAAAACAGATTTTGCAAAGAGAACACCAAATTTTATTAGTGATCAACAAATAAATAAAAAGCTGAATTGCATGTTAACAGCCAAAAGATATCTAATTTCATGAAAAAATTAAATATACTAAAAATATATAAATTTCGTGTTAAATAAACGTCTATGCACGTTAATCGAATGGTTAGAGAAAAAATCGTTAACAAAATCCTGCGCCAAAATTACAATTGGAGTGCCACTTGGGAACGCGCTCAAAGGCATTTTGATAAACGCTGAAATTTCAAAACGCTGTAAGGTTTCCGCAAACCTATTCGAATAAAAGTGTAACTTGTCCGTCATTAAATTTGAAGTGTGTGACGAAATAAATAATTGATTTCAATTGAAGGCAATCAGTGATCAAGACAAAAAAAAAGCAGAATCAGCCCAGCGCTGTGTACATTGTACTGCACAGTTGCATGCGATAAAAAGCGCGCAAGCGAAAAGCATAGTAAAAACGACAAGTGTATTCTTTAGCATAGCAGCGTTGCCTAATAACGCCCTTATAAATTTGGTGATTAACGATAAAGTGATTTGCAATTGCAAAATACGTACATACATTCCGTTTGAAACCAAAAAGACAAGCGAGTTTGCTTAGTATTTACTTAAAACACTAAAAAAGCTATAGCACCAGCTGAGCAAATAACGCAACAAAATTTTGAAATATTTTAAAAACAAATATTTAAAAATTACTAAAATGACACCGAGGCTAATCACTTACATCCTGGTAATTTTTGTTTGATTTTCGTTTTCAATATGTATTCTTGGGACTTTGACAAAACAATTTACTTCATTTCAGTGGTAAAAGATTTAAAAAAAATTAAGTTTTCTTTTGGGAGAATTGGCAGTTTAAAATCGATTTAAGTTATTTTGTCAAAAGTCTTTAGATGTATCATTTATAGTCGATTTATAGATTTCGTATTCATTATGTATGTATGTATGTAAATATTGTATGTACATATGTACATAAAGTCATGTGAAAAATAATAGGGATACGATATTCTGATCAGTTTTTCTATTCTTCTTTTGATTGCTTAATTATTATTTTATTTTTATTTTTTAATACAGCTCATTATCTACAAAAACCATATAAGTCAAAATTTCAAACTCTGTAGAAAAATTCAAAAAATTCAACAAAAAAAATACAACAATAAAAAACTTTTTATTAGGAATTTTCAGTAAAACTATATGTATGCAGTTTTGTAGCCCATTATTTTATAGCTTAAGAAAGTCCAAGTTTCATGTGGCTAAGAGTTCGTGTTGATTTTTGATATTTTTTTTTTTTTGTAGATGGTATTATTTTCTCCCATACCAAAAAAAAAAAAATTGTGAGACATACTTTGTATGGAAGAAAACACGTGACACCGTCAGCAAAAAAAAAATATTAAAAATCACCGCGAGTTCTTAGCCACTTGAAACTTGCTCTATCTGAATTTAATGGGCTGTAAAACTGCATACTTAGGTTTTTTCTAAAAATTCTTAAAAAAAAGTTTGTTGTAAAATTTTTCTTATTTTTTTACAATGTTTAAAATTTGGACTTACATGGTTTTTGTTAGGTAATGAGCCGCATTTTTTTAAAACATTAGACAAAAAAAAAAGAAAAATTGCCAAAACAGGTCAAAATTTCGTGTCCCTTTCGTGCACGAATTAAATTACATAAATACTACTACTAAATATACGCCTTAAAACTCGTGTATCGTCATCCTTCAGTACCTGAAGCATGACACCCTTTAAAGTAGCTTAATAGTAGCTTAAGCTTGAAGTGACTTTTTAAGGTTGGCCCAACAGAACTATCTAGGCCGCAAGGCTGGCTAGTACGCTCTAATAATAATAATAATAATCTCAGATGCCTTAGTAGAGGTAAGTTACCAAGTCTAGTTGCGAATACGGAATTGGAAATTGCTTGATATTTCCAATACGGATGATTACTGCATTTTAGATTTCATGTTTACTAATTGAGCAGAGATTTTCTACTTTGGTAGCTTAAAGACGGCCAAAGATATCGAGTAGTTTATGAGGCCAATGTGTTACCAGGCATCTAAGATCTGCAAAGAAATTTTTAACTCAAATATAAACTGTCTAATTCTTTAGATTTTGCCTCAATAGTGCTCTGCAACGCGTTCAATGTTTGTGTGAAGGTCTAAAAGCATAAACAGACGGCAGCGTTGATCCGGATCAACTCGGGAATTAACTGTAGTTGATTCGGATTAAGTCCTAGTTAGTCCGGATCAACGCTGCCGTCTGTTTAAGCTTTAAGCCAAGCCGTCGAGGCATGTGGTGTTCTGTTCATGAATTCGATAGCCGTGTGGCTATGAAGCTGTAGACATCTCTAGGACTCGTATCATACTTAAGAATGCCATCATAAACCATTTTATGACATAAATGCGCAAACACTAATTGGCCAATTCCATTATGCTTACTTGGCAAAAACAACCAAACTTATTGCTGATAAAAAGTGAGTCATAATGAAGCTGAGACATTTTTAAAATATTGCTTAGCTCATTACATGTCACCATTCATAGCAAAATTACCAAAATGAAGTTTATCAGTATTTATCCCGCGAATGATTAATTTTATAATCACATTGTGCTTAGCTAAGTATAAAGCAGTGTTATAAATTTACGCTCGTTGTAATGACTTAAATTGTTTAAACATTTATCAGCGCATAATTAATTTACGCGCAACTTTTTGCGTTTGCTTTGCAATGCATTTTATAAATGAATTGCTTTCATGAATTGAGTTATTTTTTTAAATGCAATTTAATTGCTTGTCAATAATGCAACATATCGAAATTACTTACATTACTTGATTGTTAAAGTCTTAAAATAAATATTCAACAAATAGATCTCATATACGAGTACATAACTTCGGCAAATATTACTCATACGCCAGCGCGCTCCATCAATTTCAATTGCCCCGTACAAAGTTCAATTTTAAAACAAATCAACTTAAATGACAAATGCTACTAAGTATGTATGTAGTTATCATTTGTAATTAAATCAGCACTTTTGACTATTTACTAAAAATTATTTGCACGCAAATATGCATGTTCGGAGCGAAATTGCAAGATATTTATTTAATCATCACGAAAGCCAGTGGCACGCTTAGTTGGCTGGCTGAGAGAAATGTTTGCTATAATTTGTATCAATTTTAATAGCATCAAGTTATATCTTAATTAGAGATATGTTTATTTGCAGCTGGAACAGCAAATATGTTAGCTTTAGGGCTCAAAATCAAAAAGACATAATTTTGTGCCGCATATTAGCAATTGCCACTCGAAACTTTTCTAGTTGTTGAACGTGACTTCCTCGTGGCTTTGACTATATTAATTGTAGCACTAACGACCAACTAATGAGCTTGGTGAGATCTCTTGGAGCAGCCAAGCTAGCCTAACCTTAATTATTATAAATAAAAGATGAAAGAGTCATGATTTTTTCAGTGTTTTGCAAATATTCAGAACTTTTCGAGATTTTTTGTTTAACATTTCGATGGTTTTAACCTATTTCTGGAAAAAATTTACAAAGCAATTTGGTTTTCGAGACTTATCGGAAATTTTCTTGGATACTTTTCGTGAGTTTTCGTACCTTCAGTTTTTTTTCTCGAAATATCACTGTTGATGCTCTTCCTTTTATAAAACTTACGGAGTCATTCCGAAGCTTTCGTAGTTTTTTCGGAAACTTTCGGAGTTTTTAGAAAGCGTTTGCAATTTTTCGGGGACTTTTAAGAGTTTTTCAGAGTCTGCCGGAGTTTTTGGAAACTTTTGCAGATTTTCGAAAACTTTAAGAGTTTTTCGGAAATTTTCTGAGTTTTTTCGAATTTTTCAGAGTTTTCAGAAACTTTCTAAATTCTTCAAAAAAATTCGAAAGCCTTTGCAAACTCGAAATTACTCGGAAACTTTGGGATTTTTCCGAAAGCTTTCAATTTTTTTCGAACTTTCGGCAGATTTCGAACCGGGATTTTTAGGAAATTTTCCAACTTTTTTTGGTTTATTTTGTGAAACTTTCTGGTTTTTTTTGGAGCTTTTCGGAATATCTTCTTTTTACTTTCTTGGGACTTTTTCGAGTCGCTTCCGGGTTTTTCGCAATTTTTCCGGAATTTGTTCAAAGCTTGTGGGATCTTTTGAAGCACTTCCCGAAATGTCGGGGTTTCAGTGGAACCTTTCGGGATTTCTTGTAACTTTTTTTCTTGGTATATTTTTAAGATCTTTGCGCAATTTCGGTATATTTTGGAACTTTACTGGAATTTCCGCAACTTTTCGAGGTTTTCAAAACGTATCTTGGTATTTTTAAAAATTGAAAATTTTCTTTTAGAGTTCTGCGTTATTTTTTTTTTAACATTTCACGATGCTTCGGTGTTTTGTAGAGACCACTCCGGATCTCCCAAAACTTTTCGTTATTTTTTTTTTAACTTAATAGTATTTTTTTTTTTTTTAAGAATTTCATGATTATGTTGTGATTTTTCAGAGTTTTACTTAACTTGTTTGCTTGAGAACTTTCTGTAGCATTTTGTTTTCTTTCGGGATTTTTCCGGATGTTTCATGATATTTTGTAAATTGTGGAGATTTTTCTAAAGATTTCGCGAGTTTTTATATTGAGCGGTATATTAATTCAAATTAATGTCTGAAAAAAGAAACAACGGGTTTTTTTCTTTTGTATTTGGAGTATTTATTATATATTTAATTAACATTTTCAATTACTCTAATATTTCTGATTTGCTAAACCAAACAATAAAAAAACTCATAAAAACTAAGCTTTAATCGCTTCTCTCTCACTCTCTTTTTCAGTGCGGCATGCGCCATCCTACCACAGGACTTAGCGAAGACGACCTCAGTCGTCTCACTGGTTCATCCTCATCGACAGCATCTTGCGACAGCAATTCATCATCCTCCTCTTCGTCATCATCGTCTTCTTCTTCGTCAGCGGCGAATACGCCCGCCCATAAGGAGGGCGTTGACGAGTGCGCTCATCACACACTCGCCACGCTCACTAGTCCTGATAAAGCGACCAATAATACATTAGCCCTGGTCGCTAGCACACTTAAGCAAAATAATAACAATAATAATATCATCAACATTAGCCACAATAATAATAACAACAACAACGGCACGCACTCGAACACAACATCATCACGCTTTAGTTCTACATATCTACCCGAACTGATTAATCCATTGGAATGGCAAAAATCACGTAAGCGCAAAGAGCGCCTAGACAGCACCTCATCTGTGACGCAAGATCGCAAATTGCAACGCTCTAACAGTGAGGAGCTCCTAACGCAAGAACAGCAAGCGCCTTCTGCTGGCAGCGCAGATGCTCTGAACGCCGGCAGTAATGCTTTGAAAGCGATAAAGAGCGCAGAGGTGATTAGACGCGTCTCATCGGAGGATTTCAAGAAGACCGCCTCCTATGCAATATATGAACAAGAATTGCGTGAAGCAGCTGAATGCCGCGCTGCCGACTTAAAACAGAGCCAACTGCAGCAACAACACCAACAGCGCGCCGCCAATGAGAATGACGGTGCGTTGGCCAATCGTCAGCGTCATCAGCAGCAACAAAACAATCAACAAACGCAACAGCAGTCAGCAGAGGAGTCAACGGCCGCGCCTGTCTATCGCGACTCGTGGATAACCGGCCCCACCAAAGACATGACGCGTCGCTCACGCTACGAAACTAGCCCGGCGCGCTCGCAGCGTTTTTCGCCCATACGCAGCAATGGCGCTGCTAATGGCAATGGAAGGCATCGTGACAGCGACGATAGCGAATGCGAGCATGAGCGGCGCCGCAGCAGTGAGCGTTCGTGCAAATCACGACTGCCACCCGGTCGCAAGGTGGGCGTTGTAAAGAAGAGCAGCGGTAACGCTGCGGCAAGTAGCGCCGCAAAATATTTGGCCTCTTCCAAGCGCGGCGACGAAAACTCAGCTTACAAATACGACTTGTCTACGCTCAAGTATGAGCGACGCGGTTTCATTAGCAAGAAAGGCACAGCAGCTAATGCTGGCAACAGCAGCAGCAGCAGTGCCAATGGCAACGAGAAAACGGCCAGTGATCACAATGACAATAATCTAATCGACTTCCATCAGCAGCCACACAAACATACCCCACCAACGGCGCAACCACAAATGCAGCCGCCTGCATCGACGCAATTGCAGCTTAAAAGCGTGAATGGCATCGCAACGTCAACGGCAGTCAAAGAGGACAAGCCGAACGTAGCAGCAGTTGCAGCGCCGCAGAGCGTCAAGCATTCGAATGCCATTAGCAGCGCCTGCAGCAGTGTGCCGCTAACCGCCGCGCAAGAGGCTTTGCCTTGGGGCCGCAGCGTACCCGAAGATGCCACACCGATGCTAAGTCGACGCTATGCGCCCGCGCGCCATCACCCCATCGACCATCTCGACACGGCCGCCAAGCTCTCAAAAGTTATGCCCTATCCACAGCAGTTCCACAAACAATCGGCAGTGCAGCGTTTCGACGACGATATGGATTGTATGGAATCGCTCAGCACTTTCCGTGCCTTTACCTCGCGCGATGTCATGGAGCAAGTCATACCCGCCATGATGTCCTTTCAATCACCCGAAGAGCGACTCAAGCAGGTCAACAAGCGATTGACGGCGTTAAAGAAGAAGCTGGTGCAACTAGAAGAGGCTTACGAAATGCGCGTTGGCTATCGTCCCTCACAGGCAGAACGCATGAACGACAAATATATGAAGAATATACTGGCAGAGTTAACTAAGTTGCGCAAAGAGCGACAGGAGTTGAAGGCCGATCCGATGAGCGCGTTGGGCATGAAAGTCAGCGGCGGCATGGATTCGTCTATGAAGTTGGAGAAGATGAAGGCTACGCTGCAGGAAATTGAACAGGTAAGAAGATAGATAAGGTTTTGATTGAAGCTTAAAAGAAAGAGGAAAAAATAAGGGGAACAATTCTCGCCTACATATATTATTAACATATATATTCAAGAATTCTGATTTTTGCCTTACCAGTGCCAATTCTTGTGCACCTACTTTCAAGGCTTATACAGCGATTGCGTGAGAACATTTGCGACTGCAGCGCGACAAGTGTGCACTTAAGTTTGTCGAGCATATATAAACAAACACCTGAGATAAAACAAAAGCTAAAAAAAATTTCAACGAAAGTGACAGGCAAACGAATAATAAACTAAAATACCTGCCTACACGCTTAAAAAACAGCTGTACTTAGTACACAGTTATAATAAAAAGCAATCAAGAATTTTCACAATGAGACAAGTCGACTGCGAACGTGGCGACGTCGCGTGCATATGCCACGCATTTAAGTGTTTACAAACTGCTAAATTTAAATAAACTATACGACGATGAGCAGGCAAAAGTGGCGAAATCAATGGTCATTAGCGGTGTAGTTGTATAACAGGAATAATATGTATGTAAGTAGGCGATGCCTTCAGTAAAAAATCATGAATTAAATAAAACAAAAGCTAGGTAGCATCGTTAGCGTACTGAATCACATACATACGATGAATAAAAATTAAATATTCAAAGTTCTCTTGCGAAGCTTAATCTTTTTCATATGCCTTCTCTATTTGGACATAGGACGTGTGAATATATTGCGAATAGGCGATTTTAAGCACCAATTTTGGCACCGTCTGCTTGTTTTCAAAAATTTATGTTTAATTTTAGAACGAATTTTGTAAGAATTACATAAATACATTTATTTTGCAAATACATTTTTTTGTAGTGATTCACTTGGGTAGCTTTTTTTTGGTAAATGTATGCATAGCCATATGTAGTGTTTTAGCTTAGTAGTACTGAAAATATACTATTTTGGCCGGGACGAGAATACTACGCATAGGTAAAACTACTAGACGCGGCTATTAAATAAGGAATAAGATGCTGTAAAACATTTTATTTTCATTTCATACACAGTCAGCGTCAAAAATATGTGTATCTTGACTTTTTGACGATTTTACTGATTTATATTTTTCATAACAAATTTTTCTTCTTTTTTTATAAAAATGTAGTTCATTCAACAGAAAAAAAACACAAGAATCAATTTTTTAATTTCACACAAAACCTTAAAAAATTCCAGATATTTTTATTGAAATTAATAATTTTAATTTTATTTCGAAAAAAAAATGCTCAAAATTCACAAGTAATTTTTAGCGGCTTGAAACTTACACTTTGTTATACTAAATTTATTTAAAGGACTACAAAATTGCATACCCATAATTTTAATAAATTTTTTCATTTAAAAAATTCAATAAAAAAGTTTAAAATTTCGATGAAAATATCTTGCATTTTCCAAGAGTTCTCTATCAAGTCAAAAAAATATTAATTTTTGTGGTTTTTGCTGTTGAATCAACTACATTTATATATAAAAAAAATAAGTAATATTCGGTATGTAAAAAATAAATACATCAACGAAATCGTAAAAACGTCAATTTGGAAGTCTTAAAATATCAGTTTTATAGTTCCGGTAAAAAAACGCATATTTTTGGTGAGGCACCCTAATGGACATATGTACAATGTACATACATATGTAAATGCATTGGGCTAACATGTAAAAAGAAAAATGCATTTTATTAAAAGTGACTGAAGTCGATTAAGGCAGATTGTGCGAGGAACAGGTTTTAATATGATTAAACCTCATTATCTCTCCATAAAACAGATACAAGCCGTTATCGATTCGCCACTTCTCTGGTCGCTATGTTTGAGTTCCGGTCGCTTAACCAAAAATTTTGTATGTGAAAGCAAAAACAAAGTTAGGTAGCAACGACGGACGTTAGCGAGTTTGGATGTGAACTCAATTCGTACAGGCAGCTAAAAATGCCACCGTCGCTGTGAGCTGGAAACCACATGACCTTTATAGTAAAGTATTCTGATGCGATCGGGTGAGACATCAGGCATTGTTTGACCATTTTTAAATGTATCATTCAAGAAGCAAATTCTTTTATACATATATAGGGGGAACAATACACGACACCAGCTTGCTGGTGCCATCAAGTTATTGTACCATCAAGCCCCAAGCATACAACACACCAGCATGCTGGTAAAAAATATTTTTTTTTTTACAAATGGGGAGCAAAAAAGATCGTAATAAATACAGCCGAGGATTGTTAACTTTCCCACAATATTGGTATAATAATTCTTCTAATCTCACGGATGATTTCAAATCTCAATACAATTGATCCGCATCCCAACCTAAAATAAACGATAGATTAGACACAATATGTTAGAGTTTGGCCGTTTCGCTGACGTTGTGACAAAGGGGAGGGACCTAAAGTTTTACGCCGACTTCGAACTGCGATTGTATTTTTTATGACCGCTTTTAGAAAAAAATTTGTTTATGTTTAATTTTTTTTATTGGTCGGAAACTCGGCTCGAAACTCGGCCTTCAGAATGGTAGCGCGCAATGCTTACCACAACACCACAGCGTCAATTAAGGGCACTAAAAAGGAAAAAAACTGAGCGCCGACTAACTCTGCTGTTGGACTATAAATTTGAAATTATTACTTTAGTAAAGCAACGGATATATGTATGTTAATATGTGTATATGGAAGGAAACACATGCACTCAATTGCTCACCGGCACTACAGAGGCTACAGAAGCTTAATGGAATTAGTGTGCTACTCTTGACAGCGTTGGATTGTATTTTGTGTGATTAACGCGAAGTTTTCTATTAGCAAAAATTGTCCATCAAATGTTGTAGGAGATGTCCCTAGTGCGAGCGAGGGTGTGCAAAAAAATAAGCAGCGCAAACTAATGAAACTCATAGGCACTTATATATATGAACTTGAGAGGGTGGTTTAAAGAGTATTTAGTATCAGCAAGAAATCTGATCACTAATAGCCATTTGCTTAGTACTTAGTATTTTTCTGGCACAACTGAGTCCAAGAAATGGTTTCGGTTCTACAAAGATAGTTAAAGATCCTTCTCATGCCAACTGGGCAGCGACTTCGTTGACTTCGATTCCAGTGTGCCCTGATATCCCGCACAGTGTGTGACTTAGAACGGGCAAAATTTAATAGACTACCGACATCTTGCATTTTGTAATGAGGTGGGGGAATAGGGGGTGTGGAGGGAAAGAGGCTTAGAGCAACCACAGGACACCAGCGAATAGTTGAAACAGTGGACCAATCTTGCAGAAACATATGTAGATCGTTCAAGCTAATATGCTGCTTTGCTAACAAAGGGGGAATGGTCACAGTTTTCATCAAGCCTTTGCACAGTGCTCAAAATGTTATTTCATTAACAATTTCCCACCACTTTCTTTTTATAGATTTGTTCCGAACTTGAAGCAGTGACTTCGAAAGACTTTTGAGCTTAATTTAGGAATTGTCATTGAAAACCACTGAAAAGGGTTCATTTCCCTATGTGAAAAATTTAAATGGTGCTCTTTAAAAGTTAATATTTTCGCAGCTTATCTCATGTTGATCATTAGTTCTGTTTTTCGCTAGCATTTCAGCTCACCCTCATACAAAAGAATTAGAGAAAAAAATAAATATTTTCTATAAATAGTGAGTTTTTTAGTCTTTACTACATGCAATTTGTTTTGACTAGAAATGAAAGCTCATTACTTAGTCTTAATAAATTTTGTAAAATTAGTTGTGGGCGTGACTCTGCATTTTGTACTAATTAAAGTGGAACGCTGTAAGGTAGACACATTATTACTCTTACAAACAAGTTCGTGTGTATATGCATGCTTGTAGTTATATTTTAATATATTTGTCTACAGTAGAAATAAATAGCGATGCAACCACTGCGTGAAATAGTAAGCCTTTGAAATATTTATCTTCTTTACAGCTTTTTGCATTTGCTCTTCTCCCAAACCTAAACAAAATTAGCACATACTCGTATTTACATTTCTAGGTACATATTTCAAAATTATTCCCGCCACCTAGACGCTTGAACTTTTTTTCTCTGTGACAGACGAACATTGCGAACAATGCACGGAATTCATGCTATGAAATTTTGTGTATTTCATATTTGCGTCGCAATTTTCATTGACCACGCGCTTGAAGCTTGTTAGTTTTTATTTTTATTTATTTATGCCTTTTCATATCTCTTTTTTTTTTGGTTGACATTTTATTTTTTGTTTTTTATTGTTTTATTTTTTTTTGTAAAAGCTCTTACATACATACATATGTACATAAGGGTGGCCCTTATTTCGAAAAGAGTTCGGATTCTCGTTCTCACCGTCTAGAAATGTGTGAATAGCCTAAAAAATAAACTGTACAAAGTTTTAGATCAATCAAAAAAGATTTAGGCTCAAAGCGCTCAAAGTTTTCCATGTATAAAACAATTTTTCCTATAAATGGTATAGAATCCTTGAAAGTCAATATTTTCCAATCGCCAAACTCTTTTTCTCTTCAGGAGACTTCCAGAAAAAATAAGCAATTATTTATTTAAAAGTTTATTAATAATAACAATTTTTTATCGTTCCCCCAAAACCCCTAAAAAATCGTTAATATTAAACAAATTTTAAATAACCAATTTGGCAGCGTTTTTTGAAGTCTCCTGAAGAGAAACAGAGTTTGCCGATTGAAAAATATTGTTTCTGAAGGATTCTATATAATTTTTTCGCCATATCAAATACATGGGAAACTTTGAGCGCTTTGAGCCTAAATCTTTTTTGATTGATCTAAAACTTTGTACAGTTTAAATCTTTTTTGATTGACCTAAAATTTTGTATAGTGTAGTCTTCAGGCTATTCACACATTTCTAGGTGGTGAGACCGAGAATCCAAACACTTTTATTTTTCTCCATATAACTAAGGGTCATCCTAATGTACATACATATTTTCTGCGCTCGTGATTTGCTTTTGAACTTATTTAGACTCATTTAGCTCATTTACAGAGCAAAATTGTTCCGCTCATATTTCGTTGTCGATGTTGGCCGGCTGATGAATGCTAAATTCAAAAATCAACAATTGCCAAAATGTCGCTTTTTTTGAAGTGGTTAAATTGTGTTAGCACCATACATCTGCATTCCTACAAATTTGTATGGTCATAGTACCGGCGCATCGGTAGGAAGGGGCATTTAGATGAATATGAAAATAGAAATACCTTGCCATTGAACGGTGTAGTGGAAAAAATTGTTGATTAACACATTAATTTTGTCTGCTTGCGAAAATGCGCGTTTTATTAGTTTTTCCGGTTTGTTAGTTGAAAATGAATTTCTCAGTAATATCAATTAAATAAAGTATGTAGATTAATGTAATTAATTCCTTCTTCAATATTTGGTAAACTAGAGAGAAACGCCACAATTTTTTTGGCTATTTTTATTTTGCTTATTATTTTTTGTAGGCAAGTATAGCTCACTATCTAACAAAACCCATGAAAGTCTGAATTTCAGACTTTGTGCAAAAATTTGGAAACTTCGAAAATATGGGAAGTTTGTTGTTCCGGCTCTGTCGTTTAGAGCAGAGCCGTAACTCGCTAGCTCAACCGCCTATGCCTTGAGACCAATATTGGGGTAATTTGGAATTGCTCCGAAATTTATGCACACTCCCTCCAACTAGTATGGGAAGAAGATGGTAATGCCTGAACTGCCGCCTGGCTATCTGAAAAAGAGTTCAACCTTACAACCTCCTTGATAATAAACATTTCGCCTGAAAAACTCTTGGGTAGTTTGTTGCCTAAAGATGAGTTTCTCAGCAAAAAAAAATCGTTCCCACATTCCATCTTTAATCTATCTGTAAAAACAGCTAATTGCTCCAAGCATTGGATTCCACACCGAATCCAGTTACTACGATCTGCAGAATTTTGTGGGGGGTTTGTGACCTAAATTTTACGTGCAACCTCACATATTGGTTCTTTAGTTAACCTTCTGAACGCTTGAAGAATATTGGGCTTTGTCCCAATCTGGGCAAACTATTTTTTAAATTTGTCAATTAAATTTCCAATTAAGTTTGTACCCTTCGTACCAATCGTGTGACTGCAAAAAAAAATCGCAATTTTTATTTTTTACCAGTGAGCTACAATAAAAATGTTTACAAATTTGTAGAAATGGCCGTTAGTCTCTCTTGTTAGCCTAGTGAAGAAAGGGAAGAGTTGAGCTCCAGCTAAAAAGTCAGGATGTCAAAATCTGTTTATTTTGGGATGCAATAATTGCTTACTTCTGAAAATACAATTCGATTTGATAGATAGTTACTATTTTTCAATAATTAATTTTCATTTCTGGATCAACTTATTAACCAAAATCCATCCCTTTCTCTTTCCAGAGCCTCTCCGACAAGCGTGAGGATACCAATCGCTCCGAGTCGCTTGACGAACTCAACGCCGATCAGCTGGTGCAGGAGAAGAGTGCCGTACAGCATGGTCTACTCTACTTTGAATCGCTCTATGGCCGTCCTTCTACCAAGGATGAACGCGATGCGGCACGACCCCTCTACGATCGCTACCGCCAGCTCAAGCGTATGGTGTTGCGCAGTGTAATGCAATCGGGCAGTGCCATCGCCGGCGCACCTGAATTGCCAACCATACTAGAAAATGAGGCAATGGTCTTCGAATTCACACCACACCAACTGTCTTCGGCCAATAGCACTGAATCGAATACGCCCAGCGATACAGCGACGGCGCCAAATGCATCATCCGATGACTCGACCACCACCACAACTGGTGTCACAGCTGATGCAACGGCAACAACGGCACAGGCCACACACACGACGTCAGCTAGCGCCAGCGAAAATATTAGCGCGCTAAATCTCGAACAATTGTGGGAACATTTGGAGAAGACACGCGAAGAGAAGAGGCTACTCAAGCGTACCATACGCGAGTATGAGACTATTTTTGAGGAGCAAAACGGCCGTAAGATGCTGAAGAATGATCGAAAGACCATCGAAGAGACATATGCGCAGTACAAGGAGAAAAAGGCGAAGACACGTTTGTTGCAGGAACTTATCAAGAAGCAGAAGCGCACGGTCGCCTAAGTGGAATGTTGGAGATGGAGGTGAATGGTGGGACAAAAAGCGCTTTGGCGAGAGCTGCGTTGGTTATCAACAATATTTGTAATTGGAACGGCTGCTGGCGCGTGAAGAAAAGCTCAGTAGTATTTTTTGTTTTTGCATTTGTGGCGGCGACAAATAGTTTGTTAGCAATATGCTTTTGAGTAAGAAAGTGTGCTACAACAACTGCAAGCTTTGGTAGTTGTGGATGGTAAAGCACGCAAGCTTTTCTACAGCACACAAATGCAAGCGAATGCAACAGCGGTGCAGTGTTGCATAAAACGAGACAGAAATTGTTATACTTTTTTTTTTTTTTGGAGAAAACCATACAAGTCTCCTTGCATACATACATACATATGTATGTATGTTAAAAAGCAGCATTATTTGAGCTACTTATGTACTATACCATTTTTTTTTTAATAAAATTAGTATGCACTTCATTAAAAAATAGCTTGTTGTGACCAAAATTATTTTTAGTATGTAGAATTCATTGTTATACTTATTTTATGCACTCACATCTTTAACAAAACAATTTTTATATTTATTTTTGCATCCCATTTATTAAATATTATTACATATACACCAAATACGATTGTATAATGCGATTAACTAATTAATGTAACGCATAGCCATCAAACAGTTATTTAGTTATTTAAGCTCTTGACAACTGTGTTAATTTTTATAAAATTCACAAAAGCTATTAAATCTTAAATGTTAAGTGGTGAAGCGCAAAACGAAGCTAAACTATGTATGTAGAGCGAAAAATGAAAATGTTGTAAAATGCATGAAAAACATATTGAAAGGGATATGAGAATAAAAATCAAATATTGTAAAAGAAGTGGGCGCATATATGTATTAGAAATTGAAAATATGCATTGCTTTTACTACAAAAGAATAACGCCTTTTATGTAAAACAGGAATGCGTCTAATAAAGGAACAAAATCAGCACAGAAAAACTATATTTCTTTTAATGCAAAAGGCAAACCGCATTTTACTTATTAAAGCTTCGAAAGTATGCAATCCATGAGAATTACAATGAAAAACTGTGATTCAGTGATTAGCTTTCCGAAGATTTCACGAAAATCGGACTACGATGTATTTAATAATAAGTCCGAATGTGTAGAAGGTCATTTTAGTTTTAATAAATTCCAATTAAATATTAAATTTAAATAAATTTAATGAAGAACTTTACTTGTTTGTGTGTAAAATTTGCATATTTTTGGTACGAAAAATTTTAACTAATTTTTGTAAATATTCAAATATAGTAGACGCAATTTATTCAAATAAATTTAAGTAAAAGGTCTGAAACGTTGTTAATATGGCCCAATGTATTGAAAATAGATTTTCTTCAAAGAAAGAGGATAGTTTAAAGTATTGCAATAAATATTAACGTGGAAAAATAATTTGGGCAACAATATCTTGGCTTGCGTAAAAAAAAATTATTTTGCGTAAAATTTTTTTTTGTCTTTTTTACTTATGAAATATTTTTTTTAAAATTATTTGCTTTTGACTTTAAATATTTTTTTTTTTTATGGCAGCCATACATTCGTTCTACATTGTAATCGGTTTAGATATTTAAACACACTTATTTTATTTTTTTCTGTAGAAACAGACAATATTAAAATTTCTAGACTCTCACAAAATATCAGGGACCAAGAACGCGTTCCGTGTTTGGATATTTTATTTTCTCTAATGTAATATCAAGAACGTTCCCACAAAAGAATCAAACGGGAACAAAAGTGTTAAGAGCAGTTTGGAAGGGAAGAACATGAGTGTGAAAGGTTCGCTAATGTTTCCGTAAAGAAAAAAATGCGAACAAAAGAATAAAAGGAAGCAAAGCTCTCAAGACGGATAAAATAAGAGCAAACAACTGGGGAACCATGATTGTTAATTCTAAGCCAGAGGAAAGCCGGATCATTTCAACTTCCCGATCGTTTATCATTAGGGTGAACTGTCCATTTATGGAACAATTTTTCATTGTTTGTGCAAGAAAAGTTCGTGTCTTTCGTTGATCTTATTTGCATAATTATCTGTCAGTTCTTGTTTTAATAAAATTTTAATATTCAAGCATTTCAAACTAAAGCACGACTGTGAGAAAAATTTTGTTCTCGCTTCCATTATTCACGAATAGTTCAAAAAAGATTTGTTTCCATTTCGTTCTCTCAGAACATTCCTAAGGCTTTAATACCCCAATTGTTCTTCGAGTGAATTTTCCTTAGACTTTCGTTCCTGTTTTGTTCTTTGCCAGAACGTTCCGGAGACTTTCGTTCCCATGTGGTTCACCGTCCTTGCCCACATATAAATCTAGGTCGTTCCGATTAAGTATGTCAGACTGTCGTGGGAACGCAAGGACATTTGACAAGTGTCGAATGGAATTACTTTTATTTCCCAAGCGCCAAATTTATAACCCGTTGCCCCATTTCACTTAATACATAGACACATATTTGAAACTTCTGACAGAGCAATTAATTAAAAAATTTCAGACTTTCAAAAAAAGCACTAAGCATTTCTTTCAACTTTAGAAAAGAAAACTGAAATTTGTAAAAATTTAGAAATTTTGACTGAACCGCCAACATTTGTGTCAACAATATCTTCGAGTTTCGAAGGCTTTAAGCGTTTAACGGGTACTCGTTCTCCTAATTATAAAAGTGAATTGTGTTCCTTTTAAAAACTTTAAATACATACACTGCCGGAACAAAGTATTAGCACAGCAAATTTTTCACAATATATGCAACAACTACTTAAAACTTGCACTTTATTACAATAAAATTCATTGGGCTGCAAAACTGCATATACTCAAATAAAAAATTTCTAAAAAATCTGATTAAAAAGTTGAAAATTTGCTGAGTTTTCGCGAGTTTTGCACAAAGTTTAGGAATTATATTTCATGTTTTTTGTTGTTGAATGAGCCATATTTTTATACAAAATTGGCGGAAAAATATTAGAATAAAAATTGTTGCATATTTTGTGAAAAATTTGCTGTGCCAATACTTTGTTCCGGCAGTGTACATAAATATTTCATTTGTAGTCGCAATGTCAAAATTGGAAAAAATCCATTTCATATTGCCCCTCATCCAGTATATTCCCAAGACTGAGCACACTGTGATTATCTCGTGTTGTTTTAGATATTGAAGAAGTGGCTCGGTGATAGGAGATTTGGGGCAAATTAAAAGCTCAACACTGAAACAAAGCCGTATTGTAAGCACTCATAGTCCATTTATTTGGAAGGGATGCATTTATTTGAGAAAATGTTGTGCTGAAAGTCTTGAGCTGAAAAAAATATTTCATTGGGAATGTCACTGACTTGTTAAAATACCCTCGTAGCATTTTCTATTTCATTGTAAAATAATTTTAGTTTTTAAAATATATAAAATAAATACATACACTTTTTTTAATTTTTCAAATACTAATTTTAATTTTAACAATAAAACTTAAAAATTCTAATTTGTTTAAAAAATTCGCAAAAAAAAAATCAGATTTTCTTTTTTGTTTATTAAACTCGTAATTTAAAACAAAACTTGTTTAAATTTCTTTTTATTAAACTAAGAATTAAAAAAATTTTAAAATTCTAATTTCTTTAAATAATTCGCCAAAAATCAGATTTTCGTGTCAACCTTTTTTATTAAACTAAGAATTAAAATTACTTCAAATGTTTTAAAAATATTCAAGACATGAATCGAATTAGGGTGACTCATCAAAAAAGGGTTGTGGTTTTTCCACAACATTCTAAAATTTATTATATCTTAAGGCATTCGCCTGAATATTTGAGCTAGACCGATTGGTAAAGCCAAACAGCTAAAACTTCTACTATGAGAGATTTTTGGGAAAAACATTTGAAAAACTAATTTTCTAACTTACGTAAATAAAAATATTAAAATTTGCGTGAGCTGGACCGATTTGAAAATTCTTCCAATAGTCTCATTATATTGATTCCATTGACAAAGTTTTTAAACATTTTTTGCAGTCTTTTAAGTTAAAATTTTTTGGGAAAAATATTTTCACATCGGTCCAGCTCACGTAAATCCTAATATTTTTCCGAAACATTTTGGCGGAAGTCTTAAATTATAATAAAATTTATAACTCCGATGTAAAAACAGTACCGCTCCTTTTTTTTTGTATTGAGAGTGATACACCCTAATCTACATACATGCATTCCAAGTTCCTTGCCAAATAATTTTAATTTAAGGCGGTTGCATGTTTTCCATTTATCATTAATATTGCTGCTAATATTTTTTTTAAATAAAACTTGCGCCCATTAAATCGTTGTGATAGTTTTAGTTGAAAATGTAATTTTATTTTTTATTTTTTATTTGCATTGGTTAAAAGAATTAATGTCATGCAAGGTAAAGTTAAAGTATGCATAAATAAAAACACAAATTGTATATTTATGCAAACAATGAATATTGCACACAAGCAAATTGAAAAGCAAGAAAATCTCTTCACGTACACATGCATACACAGCCCTTTTATTATTCCTAAGACGAGGAAATTAAGCGAAAAACATTTTTTTAATTGCCATGCGCAGATACATATGTACATACATATATGTAGGCACTCGTTTGCATGTACATATGTATGTACTGGAGAATTTTATAACAATTTAACAAAATTAATAATTTATGATAATTTTTCGCTATATGTATGCATGTACACATAAATAAATAAATATACTTATGATAGAAATGAGCATAAATGCTGCGCTCTATGTTGCACTATTTACCTACATATGTATGTATATGTAAGTGAACAAGTTGTTATGCTCCCTTGAAATATTTCAAGGACGTTTGTAGATATTTCTAAACAATATTTTCATGCTGGCATTATTTGGTACATAATACACAAACACAAGTAAAACCACACAAATCCAAACATACGTACGTATGTACATATTATGTATCGTCTACAATTTACGGTTAATTGTACTTTTTTCTTGTATTACAAGAATAAACAGTAGGGCTGTTCAGGATGTTGTAGAAATGGTCTTGGAATTGCATTTGCAAATTTTGCGCTTGCTGCCATGGCAACCGCGTGCATTTTATTGCGAATTTACAAATGCAACGAATATGCAAATGCAAGAGCATATGCCCAAGATCTTTAACAGCCCTAGTGTATTTACATACAAAATAGGAAATATACGGGCATACATAAACAATTACACTTACATACATATATATATAAATGTATACATACCGATGTTTGTATCTACATATACATACTTATTAGTTGCAAATATTAAATTTATACATATGTATGTGCTCACATTCAAAATCTATACACCTAATATTCATTATTATTATTATTATTATTATTACTATTATTCATTATAAATATATACTACATACATACATACATACTTATATACGTTTGTATATCTGTATATGATATATTTAAACAATAATTGTTATCAATAACTTACGAGTATAGTGAAAAATCATAAATTGCAACAATTGCGAATCTTTTATTGTAAACGCAAAATATGCTATTGAAAGCAATTGACATATGCCTATGAATATAATTAAAAAAAACAAACCTAATCAAATTAATTCTTTTTAAAAGAACCATTAAATAATACTGTGTTTCTTTTATTTTCAAACATTGGTATGTGTGTTGCGTTGTTGATTTTCTCTTGGTTGGCTTGGTTTATTCACTCGCTGCGTTTTCAAAGGCATTGTAAGTATTATTTATATACGTTCGATAAGGTGGGTCGATTTTATTTCTTTTTTACTATGCGGGCATGACAATGGAATAATCGTCATTAAATTTTAAGCAAATTTTCCGAATATATCATTAGCCTAAAATTGCCTTCAAGCTTGCTAAATCGTGAAAATGTATTGTTTTTCCAACGTTTTGTTTTACTGTAGTCTCGTAAAGTGTTTGAACTTTTTATAAAATCATGTTGTATGGTATGAAAAAATCATTGCAGACTTATCTTTGTCTTAAAACAAAAAAATAATTAATTTTCGCAATTTGGCAAGCAAGAAATTGATTTTAGACGTATAATTTCTTAGGCAAATTGACCCGCCCTAACGAACACGCGTGTCTATATTTATTTTATTTTTTAGTTCTTTTATTTCCATTAATAAACACGCCTACGTTTATATGTACGGCAAATCATGTTTATTACTGGATCGAAATCTTTATTTTCAAATCTGTTCTTCTGTTCGTGATTCGAGAATCTGTGCTTCTTTTCTAGATCTACTAACGGTAGTCTAGTCGAGTTGGTTTTAGAGTTAGACTCCAGTGGCTGTCCTCAGTCAGCTCCTAGATGTTCACATACGTACTTAGGCTTTGTGGCCCGTTAAGGTAGAGCTAATTGTATAGATTTATGAAGCGTTGAAATTCGTAGGTTTTCGCCGAACTCAAGTCTGGAAGATCGGGAAGAAAGTATAGGAAGAGGCATTCGCCTTAGTTAAGCCAATGCTGGGCAGTGGAAGTGTTCTACACTCTAGATTATCTCGTTTTAGTCCTTAGCTTGAAATCTCATTATACTGCAGGTATTCCCACTAAATCATGGGCAGAATTGACCCTACAAGCAGCCACTTATTTTCAAGTGTACCCAGGCAAAAAGTGCTTAGCCCTTATCATGCTCCTGCCTGGACCCAGAATAATCAAGTTACAATATTTAATCGTTCTAAAGTTGCCAGTTTTCAGATCAATATTGGTATTTTACGGCAGATGGTTTCTTCCGTTTTTATAGCAGAAATACACTTGGTTGTTTGTCATTGCTTCCCGAAGCGCGACCAGCGTAAAAAAAAACGTTCATAAAAGGCTAAATGGATTTAACGTATTAGATGTTTGTTTTTAAGACAGCGAATCCAAGAAGTGTATCATCAAGCTCATGTAGCGGTACGCATTTAAATGACAATTCTGGCAACTGTCTTTCAACTCACTACAGTCTTTCGAAAGACAAAAGTCTTTCGTAAGACAATTGTCAATTCCGTCAACTACCATCAAAGCTCTTTACTGTCCTTCAAAAGACAAATTGAAAGATGTGCTAACGAGGAGGTTTTAGCGTTATGCTGTTCGCCTTTGAACAATCGGGGTTTTTAAACTTAATTAAATTGCAAGAAAACATATATTTTTCGTTTTAAAACAATACAAAATAATAGATTAAAAATAATTAAATTAAAAAAAATTATTTAATTATTTAATTCATTAAAAATATTTTGATTAAAAATTACAAAAAAAATTTAAAAATATCCTAAAAATTTTATTAAACAAAAGCAATATATATTTTTCTTTTTTACCAATAAAATTTGGAAATTAAAAGAAAACTAAATTAGCAGGAGAAACTTATAAAACAAAAAAAAAACAAAGAATTAATAAAATAAATTTCTAAAAATTAAATGAAATTAAAAAAATTTCTTTTTTTACACAATAAAATCTTAAAATTAAAAACAAATTTAACTAAAAACTAAAAAAAAGATAAAACTGGAAAAAATAAAATAATTTCCTAAAAATTACATGAAATACATAAAAAAATACCAAAACATTAGAAAAAATTAGATTAATAAAAAATAACTAAATTAAAAAAGAAAAGAAATATATAAAACTAGTTTTTAAAAATTAAATTAAATTAATAAATATATATTTCCTTTTTAAATACACAAAATCCGAAAAATTTAATTAAGAAGAAAAAATGTAGATAAAAAAATTTGTTGCGCCAGGACTCGAACTCGAATCTCTCGATTGGCATGGCGTCATTGCAACGACGCGAGCTAAATGATATACAAGTGCTTTCTCTCAAAATAGCTTTTCACCACGAGTGGTGAATCAAAGAGCGTTTTTTCTAAGACTTTTTTGCTGGAATAACAAAAGTCTTTCGAACTATCGTGCAATATGTCTTTCATTTGTCTTACGAAAGTATTTTTACTACCTTAGCCAGGATCGCCCTGTAAGAATTTGCCCGATCAAGTATTGTGGCTTCAGCGACCTAACCCCGTGTAGATGGGTGAACCCCAAAAATTGTGGTTTTATTTGGGTGGTCGAGTACTATCGCGTGCTTAGAATTGTTTGCCTGTGCTGGAAAGTCCCCTTGAGGCTTGAAACTTCAAACACTTACATAGTTCTTCAAATCGTGCCTCAGATTCCTTAAAAGTGTACCCGTCTGTTACCAGGGGGGGCACTCTGCAATGCGATACGAAAGAGCAATGCGATGCGAAAGGTTAATACGCCGTTAGAAATATGCCTATCGCATCGCATTTCTCTTTCGCATCGCATTACAGAGTAGACCTCCTGGCTTTCCAAGACAAGGTTGTATCCGGAGATCCAGTAAAGCTTCAAGCTTTAGAAGAGAAACACCCAAGGCATTCTTGCTTGACGATGAACAACGAAGGCGAGTTTGTTCACCAACACATTTGTTATCTACGTGAAAATACTGCCGTTTGATTCTCTCCGTTTATGGTGGTCGGTTGAAGATACCGAATGTTGTTGCAGTGTCCATTTTTGAATTGTTCGGGAATATCAAAATCTCCATATCGTTTAGAAAACCTCCAGATTTTCTACCGGCTATGGAAATGGATTCCGCAACTAACATCGATTTCCTGCATTTTATGTTCATGCCTCCATATAACAACTGGTTAATGCCCAACGTAACGGCGCTACTTTTTTCGTGTTTTGGCTTTTTTTAGACTTAACATTTGTGAAGACAAAGGAGAAGAATTAACTAAATTTTGTATGCGGGTGTAGGCAATCCTTAACCAAACCATAACCAAAATGAGACCAAAACTGTCGAGAACGTTCTCAAATTCATTCATATTAGAACAAAACCTGTGGAACGTTCCCAAAGAGAACAAATTGCGAACAATACTTTGGTGAACTAAAGTCTCAGGAACTTTCTGACTGAGAACGGAACGTCACAACGAACAATCGTCGTTCTCCCTGAAACGATTTTTCACCCTAATACGCATGCTACAAAAATAGAAGGTAGTTTCATTTATAGACATTCGTTATTGCTGCCGACCACTTCACTTTCAACAAGCTTATCACATTTAACTAAAATCATGCACTAGCAGCAAAATTTTTGTTTCTTGAAAAAGTATAAAAAATTTTTTAAGTTTGTGCAGTTGGACGAAAATATTAAAAGACAAAAAGTCTTGCGCGTTTCCAAACTTCAAGAATTCGGTACACCTGTGCAAAGGTTCGAAAACAACGTTTTTTTCTTGTTTTTCCGAGGATAGAGTACGCACTGTCTAATACAGTTTGAATACAAATTGCTGACGCAAAATATTTTTTAACGTCTAAACCAGCGGTGGCGTTTGTCTTTGAGCCAAATGTGTGTCTTTGCTGAGCAAAATTTCTGCTCTTTTTACTATTTCTTTGCTTAGAACATTTTGGCTCTTTTTACTTTTTAAAATACATATTTCTTTGCTGGAGATTCTTTTCCGTTGTGTTCTTTTTATTTTATTCTTTTTATGTACACATACGCAAATTGAGATCGGAACATTACCCGAAATCGGAGAATGAAAATTGGCTTTCTGACTTAATGTTATTTACCGATATAATGGATCATTTCCAAAACTTGAATTTTCTGTACAAGAAGAGAATAAAAATGTTTTTGATTTGTAGCAAATTATTATAAGTTTTGAAGCTAAACTTCGTCTTTTTATTAATGATCTCAAAAAAAATAAAAATATTTCATAATTTTCCATGGCTAGAAAAAAATATTGCACATGATTTATGTAAAGCAGATTTTGATAAGANAAAACTTGAATTTTCTGTACAAGAAGAGAATAAAAATGTTTTTGATTTGTAGCAAATTATTATAAGTTTTGAAGCTAAACTTCGTCTTTTTATTAATGATCTCAAAAAAAATAAAAATATTTCATAATTTTCCATGGCTAGAAAAAAATATTGCACATGATTTATGTAAAGCAGATTTTGATAAGAGATTTGCCGATTTGAAATTATTTAAATGTACGTGTGCATACTTCATAAACCCTTTTTTATGTAACATAGTGGAGGATAGGTCTTCGGGATTGTGTCAGGATAGGTCTTCGGGATTTCTTTTCTTATGTTTGCAATTATATACATTTGAATGTAAACAAAATTTCTATCAGCTGTTCGTCTAACTCGCATGTTTCTGCAAATTGTATGTTCGTCTAGTACAGAGGTTCCCAAACTTTTTTTTTCTCATAGACCCCTTTCAAAAATTGACTGGTTTCGGTGGACCCCCTGCTGATACATTTCTAAATATTCCCAAAGCTCGTAAAAAAATTATATGTGAAAATTAGATCTAACAATGTAAATTTGTATCGCGGGTGAATTCAAAAACTAAACTCAGAGTGGCTAAAATAAAAGTAAAATATTTTCTTGCGTTCTGTTTATAAAAATAATGTGATTACACACTTGTAGGTTGTAAAAGACCTCGTAAATACATCAAAATACCCCCTCGCTCGGAAGAGTTATATTTTTTAAGAGCACTGCGGGCGCTAGCGTTATTTAAGTTATCTTCACCATAAACTCATCAAATGTTCTGCTCACTCATGACTTTGCACGTGGAGTATATGAAAAATAATTTATTTGTGTAATGGCATCATTTTTATTTTTATCAAAACATCAAAACGGCTAAACACACACCAAAATTTTAATTCAGAAACTGACAATAGAATAGTTTAATAAAATCGATGACAAACAACCTAGCAAGCAAGAACCAAAAAAGTGTTCGACCGTCTTATCTTCTACAAGGCAATATGGGCAAATGGACTTGTCATTTACGCCTAAGACAGCCATGTGTTTGTGCCACGTGAAGTGACCAGTCAGCAGTCCAGCAAGTTGTCTGCAGTGTCGTCTGTTCAGTGAGAGCAAAAAATTAGATAACCCTTGTGAGATTGAAGGCAACATGAGTTTTGCCCACCTGATACCCTCGATGCCTCTCAGTCATTTCTGGGCGAAGTATTCACCAAGTTTCTGATGGTGTCTTCGATTGCCGAAGGTGGGAGTGCTAAAACTGGTTGCGGACCGAGGAATGCCTGGTCTGAGCCAACTCTGGCCAAACGATCATATGTCTC